AAAAAAAACGAAACTCTGCCTGAAATAGTGGACAAGTGCAAGACATTCGAAGTGGCACACAAAAACAAATCCTTGTTGGACAAGACAATCGTGCATCAAACAGTGTACTCCACGGAATGTGACATGTCAGAAGTTAGCGCTATCACACGTTTGCTTTTCTCGCTCGCTTTTCATGCCCGGTCATCTTAAAGATTGCCGGGCACGTAGAATAAGTTGCCATAATTGTGGACGCCAAGGCCATTTCAGCAAATTCTGCAAGCAGACAAAGCCAGAGAGTGGATTCAAACCGAAGAACTTACCATCGAAGCCAAAGAAGTTATCAGCAATCAACTCGGCCGATGAATCAGGTAACAGTAGTGGATTAGTTGACGGGGTTGCAGGTGTATTTAGTAACAAAAATTTTCCTTGTACAATAAGTCGTATTGGGGTAAGCAGAGCTAAGTGGACAAAGGAGTATCACATAGGAAACCAACACGTAGTTTTATAGATTGATACTGGGGCCGATGTTAATTGCGTCTCGATCAGAATAATATCAGCCTTGAAGTTGAAAATTGCAAACAGGAATATGAACTATGCTGTGTATGACTATAATAACAAAATTAAAATTTTTGGTTCTGTTGAATTAGACTGTGATGACCCAAAAAATAAAACGAATAAACGATAAATACTTTTAGTTGTGGATAACAATTGCGAAGCGATACTGGGGTTAAAAACAGCTGTAGATTTCAATCTGGCAATAGAAGCACTTTTAGAGGGAAATAGGGACGTGTTCGAGGGGTTAGGGAAGTTTCCCTACAAACAAACAATAGTTTTGGAAAAAGATGCCGAACCGGCACTACACTACAAAAAACGCATTCCACACAGTCTGCTTGAACCTTTGGAAAACCAATTAAAACTATTGACACATGAAGGTATTACTACACCGCACATTGGGGTATTTGATCGATCTAGGCGGTCATAAGTCTATTTTTTTAAACTTATTGTAGGAACAAAAAAAATACTACCTGCCACAGTTGAACTTATGACGCCGCTTTGAGGGCGAGTGTATTTCTGCCATGAAAAACAGCTTCTCATAAAAATACAATCGCCGTTCGGAGTCGGCGTAAAACTGTAGGTCCCTCCGCTTTGTGTGACAACATCAAACTTTGTAAACCGTAAGCTTTTAGTTATACTTCCACGCATTTCCACGTTACATTACTAGTTGCGTTCTATAGAATGTAGCTGGACAAAAATTAGCTTCCGATAGCTACCGATGAGCTTTTTATGACCAATAATTAAGATAGATCTAAAAAAAATTCGTTTTCATACATATTTTGTCATCTTTAAGTATTTCCTTTGCTTTAGAGTCATCAACTGGTACCTGCTATAGAGTAGTAACTCGAAAATATTTATTTGATAAGATGCATCGACAAAATTCTATGAATTTTGAGAACAAAATAAAGTTTCTTCACAATGATATATTATCATCTGACACCTACTCCGATGAACAAAGAAGATATATAAAGCACAAATTTTCACAACTAAAATCACAGTTTGTACAAAGGTGGATAAAAGCCCGTGGAAAAGAAGAAGTTTTTTTTAAAGTAACGTAACATGGCTACAAGGAACATTTTTAATTCACAAAGGTATGCAACAGCCGCGATCTGGTCGTGTTGAACAGGTTACTCCTAAGCTCTGATCCACTCATTAGTAGTTTCAGGCCAAAGCCAAAAAAAGCAACCAAACCCTTTTCAAAGGAAGAAATCGATATGTTGCTTCCAGTTGAACCAACTAAGGATGACACGAAGTCTGTAGTCTTCAGAAGAGGAAGAAGGGTCCGATGAAGAATCTTGGCACTCATCATCATCCTAAAATAGTTTTTTACGCAAATTTTGTTTTAGAATTCCATTACACATTTATTATCCATTGCATTACAAGATAAAATTGGTTATTTCCATCATTTTTTTGTAACTTATATCTCAAGGAAGTCCATACGCATTTTAACAATAAAAACAAATTTTTGAGCAACATTATAAAAAATAAAATAATTTGTCTGTTATTCCCTTAGTTAAAGTTGAATTTCATTTTTAAACAGGTGGTAACCCTGCCACATGTTGTTTAGAAATAAAGCTTTTCAAAACCATTTCAATTGATACCCATATTGTAGTAATTCAGTTAACTTAACTATATTTAGGTTTTTACCAGGTGGCAACTCTTTGCATGTAGTAACCTATATATAAACATCGCCGAGACGAACACGTATGTAAGTATGCGTGTTTCTACAATCGGACCACGGCAACCATAGAGTCTATCGGTGTCAAACTTTAACCAACTTTATTTTCGTTGCTTTGGAGGAATAATTGTACGTCCCCCACCTATATTTACTTAATTTCAAACATTTACAATTTTAGACATCGTAACACGTCTTTTCTAAACATTTTGAAATAAAATTTTCATAAAAATAATTTTGGCCGCCTAAATCGGCCAAATACCCCTATGTGCACCGGTAACATACCCTACGGATTGGGTGAACAATTTGCAGATAGTGGAAAAGCCGAACGGAAAAATAAGACTATGTTTATACTCAAAACCATTAAACCGCGCAATCAAGCGTGAGCACTTCCTGATACCCACAATTGATGATTTTATCAGCCAAATGGCTAACAAAAAAATTGTCTCAGTTCTCGACTTATCCGACGGATTTTGGCAAATGGAGTTAGACCAAAAAAGCTCTGATCTAACCGCATTCATGACTCCTTGTGGCCGCTTTAAGTTCAACCGCGTACCGTTTGGCATCAACAACGCACCCGAAATGTTTCAGCGTAATATAATACAGATATTCGGTGATATACCAGGTGTTGTCGTGTACTTCGATTATATTTGCATAATGGGTGAAACCGCGGTCGAGCACGATAAAGCGCTATCAATGGTCCTTGAGCGGGCGAGCCAAAATGGGGTAACATTTTACCTGAAAAGTTTCAATGTCGCACCACAACAGGTGGAATTTATGGGTCATGTGTTATCATGCGGTCAGGTAAAACCAAAGAGAAAATACTTAGAGGCAATTCTGAAGATTAAAAAACCAGAAAGTAAGTCGGACGTTCTTCCGCTACTGGGTCTTGTGAAATATCTTGCTAAGTTCATACCAAATTTATCGCAGAAATCAGCTCAACTGCGAAGCCTAACGAGAAACCATGTCCATAGCATTTACGTGGAATCAAAAACATGACGAGGAGTTTCGCGATTTACTGAACATTACTGCATCGGACCCAGTGTTAGCAGTCTATGGCAAAACCAAGCCTGTGACGATACAAACGGACGCCTCCAAGGACGGACTAGGCTGTGTCCTATTGCAGAATGGACGACCAGTGGCTTATGCATCGAGGACATTAAGTCGCAGCGAACAAAAGTGGGCTCAAATAGAAAAGGAGCTACTAGCTAATTTATTTGCTTGTCAACGTTTCCACTACTACGTGTATGGGCGGGACTTCACCGTGGAAAGTGACCACCAGCCCTTAGAAACTTTAATTAAAAGAGACCTAGATGACGTCACTGTTCGACTACAACGCATGCTTATATAGGAAGAGATTTGGCAGTCGCCGACTGTCTGTCACGGGCACAATTGGTTGAGGTGGACGAAATTCCTGAACTTTCTCACGTGATCCATTCAGTAACTCGTTCCGTATGCCTCTCAGAAGAAAACTACAATTCTACCGTTTAATAATCGAAAGGGACGAAAAACTCAACCGTATCTGTGGTTATGTAAAGTCTGGATGGCCTTCATACCACCAGTTAGATGACTTCAGTGGAATATTCCACAGACACAAGTCAGAGCTACATTTTGAAAATGGACTTCTATTTCGCAACTGTCGTCTTGTGATTCCCTCTGAAATACAAGGCCGTATTATCAAGCTAGTTCATGCTACACATCTAGGGATAGAGAAAACGCTTGCTCGCGCACGAGTACACTACTACTGACCAAACATGAGCTCTCGGATAAAAGAGAGGGTAGCAGCCTGCGAAATATGTGAACAGTTCAAACGGGACAACCAAAAGGAGCCGCTGGTTCGAGATGAAATGCCTGAATACCCATTCCAAATTGCTTGATTGGACATTTTTGAATACACCGGTAAATCCTTCATCTCGATCATCGCCTCGTACTCGGGGTTTCTGATGGTAGAACAATTGGATAACAAATCGGCGAATCATATATTGATAAACTTAAGCGACGATTCAATCACGTTGGATATCCAACAAAACTCAAATGCGACAATAGTCCGTTCAATTCTGAGGCATTTGATAGATTCGCTGATGAATGCCACATCATATTGCAATACTCGAGTCCAACATATGCCCAAAGTAACGGTCTAGCCGAAAAAGAGGCTGACTTCCAAAACGTATCAATACAACGTTTGGAAACTGTTATACTGCGGTATTCAAACTGTTTGTAAATGCAGAGTTGCGACACATTGGAACCTTATACATTGCATATTTTAAATTTTCAATTTAGCAATGAACAATTTTTCTGAATTTTCCATTTTTAAAACAGAAAATGGTAACCAAAAACAAACGAAGCATCAACTTTAGTTCTGATGCGCTGATTGCTCTAGCGATGCGTTTCGATAACTTTTCGAATGCGTTTTGGATATGTATACTTATGTCAACATTTTGTAATTCGGCGTTATGGAACATTATACTTTGCACGCATGCAAAGCAATTGACGTTTTGGAAGTCAGCCAGACGTGGAAATTGCAAAAAACGTTATAAAAAGATGTTGTGCAGCACCCGACTGGGAAAAATATCA